ATATATATATATATATATATCAGCTGACAATTTATATTATTTGACAAGTTCAACTTGATAATATATTCTACTTAAATTGAGCGTTCAGGACACTTCGCAGGCTGTTTAAGGTTGATGCAGCTGATTATATGATTTCTCTTTGTGGCAATGATGCTTTACGAGAACTATCATCTCCTGGAAAGAGTGGAAGCTTCTTTTACCTGACCAATGATGACAGATACATGATCAAGACAATGAAGAAGTCTGAAGTAAAAGTTAGCACCCGTTCCCTTGGGATTTATATTATTTAACATTCTTCTGATCTATCCCACTCAAAATATATCTTTCAACATTATTTTCCTGATCTACCCCATACATTATGTATTGTTCCACAGGTCCTTCTGAGGATGCTTCCAGCCTATTATAACCATGTCCGTGCATTTGAGAACACTTTGGTGACCAAGTTTTTTGGTCTTCACTGTGTGAAGGTAACTGGAGCTTCACAGAAGAAGGTCAGAACGTGGGTCTCAGTAACATCCATAATTTGACTGGAAGATTTGTTTTGGTGACATATAAATTCTTTGCATTTTTCTGTAACAATTAATCAGGTCCGTTTCGTTATAATGGGTAACTTGTTCCGCTCTGAGTACTCTATTCATAGGCGCTTTGACCTAAAAGGGTCTTCCCATGGTCGTATGACTAGGAAACCAGAGTCAGAGATTGATGAATATACTACTTTAAAAGATCTTGATCTTAATTTTATATTTCGACTGCAACAGTCTTGGTTTCAAGAGTTCCAAAGGTATTGTTATTATTTACTCCCGCAGCAATTTTGTTTCTGGGTCCTAGATATTTGATTTCTTCTTATGAGGAAAATAGAAGTCATATATGTGCTTTCTACAGGCAAGTTGACAAGGATTCTGAGTTTCTTGAGCAGGAGAGGATCATGGATTATAGTCTTCTAGTCGGTGTTCATTTTAGAAGTTCCAGAGAGACGCCTTTACCTGAAGGTTCATTTCAATGTTCTCTTTTATTTTCATATCTGTGCCATTCTTAAGATGCGTATCTTTTGGTTAAAGGTGGTGATGCTGACATCCAAAGAGAATCAACATTGAGGCTTTCCAGAGACATGGATCAGTTTCTTGGTGATCAAAACAGGTATAAACATGATAACTAGAATACCTGTATGTTATTTATTAATTTTGCTTTTTGGATGTATTTTACTTACCATACAAGTAGAAAATCTTTTGATGAAATCACACAAAATTAGATGATACAGAGTTTCAAAATAATATAAGTGTTCAAATCCATCAGTAAAATGCTTATCTGCTCATCTATGTCAGTGCTAGGCATGCTGCTTCTATATGCTTCTTTCTCTTGATCCATAACATTTTAAAGGTGACTTGAGTACTTTCCATTTGCTGTTGTACACTTTTTTTCCTGCAAGATCCTGACAATGAATTAATAGATTGTCCTTGGTAACTGAAAGTTAATGACGACAGAAAAGGGAGAAGATACTCCTTTCCAACTAGCACGTTAGCTTCCCTCCTGGTATGAATATTAACATTACATATGCTTTGTCATGATGTTAATGCAAAAATATGTGGTAAATATGGCTCCCCACTTGGACTGATATCACTCATCCTAATGGATGTGTGTGTGCTATGTTCTTTCTTGATACACATCATTCTCACTATGAAGCATCTGTATCTCTACAACGTCAAGTCATTTTCGGAAAATCTGGGCTTTGAGTTTTTGTTTCTTATATTTGATGCTGCAGGCGGGCAAAGATTCGAATAGGTCTGAATACACCAGCTAGGGCTGAACTGACAGTCAGGAAGAGTGAGAGTGACTCTCAGCTCATTGGAGAACCTACAGGGGAGTTCTATGATGTAATCTTGTTTTTTGGCATCATAGACATATTGCAAGACTACGATATAAGCAAAAAGCTAGAGCATGCATACAAGTCTATTCAACATGATCCGACCTCGATATCGGCTGTAGATCCGAAACAGTACTCAAAACGCTTCCGTGATTTCATATACAGAGCTTTTACCGAAGACGCCTAAAGAAAAGTTTGTCCTGGAAGCACCATCAGAGTTCCAGGTTCGGTTGACCTTCAGAATGCATTGAAGAATCTGGTCAGGCCGCAACTGGGTGTTTAGATTTTGGCATTTGTGTACATTGTTTCAGTGCCCACCACCAAAAGTTGCTGCTTCAGCCATCATCGAGCCTCTGGATCTCCTTGTTGCTGCTAGGATCTCGACCGACTCAAAAGAAAAGAAATTTGATTCTCCCAAAGAACATTTGAATAGGACCTTACAATCCTCTAAAATTTCTTTCTATAGGTAGTACTGCTAATGTCCTAATTCAGGTACAGATAGAAATTTGTAACAATGAGCGTGCAAGCCCGATTTAGAGTTGTAAATTATTTACGAGTAACGTGTATCAGATATTCTTTTTCTTCTGTAAAAATTATGATTTCCACTGAGGAGCAAGAACAGATTTGAGATTCTTACATGTAAACAAATGACAAAGAATGATACTGCTCAGGAGTTGGATGGCACGTAATGTGATGGTATGTTGGAATGAGATAGTTAATGATACTGCTATCATTAATTATTCATCGCAGTATAATTTGCTAGATCTTATCGAACATCCAATTAGATTCACAAAGGTAGCAAATTTGGTAATCGTAGATGACATGAAGCACTTATTGAGTAACGTCAACAGACATCGGCAGTGCCCAAATACGTCACATTCCAACTAATGAAAGCAGCGCATCCCGGTAATTACCACGCGTGTTCTTCACGATCTTGTCTTCGAGCTTAGCCTTGTATTGCTTCTCGTAGACTGCTTTGATCTCTTCCATATCCACATCCGATCGAGATACGACCACTCTCGTAAGAGCGTCTTTCGCGTTCTTATCTGCTTCTTCTCCGAAAGCCTTGTCGATTACCTGAATTCACGAGATATGATCCGATCATGCTTCGCTCTTTGGCAATGAGGCCTGCGAGATAACTGGCGTGATCTCTCACCTTGCTGAAATAGCTAGCGGATGATCCCAAGCATCGAACGGTTTCTCCCAAGCATGATTCATCAGCGAAGTCCTGCTCGACGAGAAGTTACATAGCAAGATGGACCGCAAATACTTGAGGTTTTGAGCAACAGCGTACCTGCTCGATCGATTGCCCGTATATTCCGCTGTAGTGTCTGAAGGTTTCTTTGAGATGTGTTTTGCTTCTCGTGGTCAGTATCCTAATGACCTCGTAATTCTCTACGGGGTCCTTTGTGCCGGCATTCTTGATTGCATGTCCGAGCGCCTTGGCCTCAGATTTGGCGATATCTTCGTCCACTCGAGATCCTTCGTACCTGTATGCGCTTACCAGTCCGACCAGCAACTGCGAGTACATGGATTGCGTTGATCGGTAGATCTTCATGATCCAAATCCTGTCGGAATTAGAAAAGGAATAGCAGTGTTCTTACGCTGCAGTAGTTTTCCTTGACGCGGTAGGCAACATCTTCCTCTATGGAATGGTGGAAGAGAGCATGGTAGGCCTTCCTTGCTCCGAGCAGCTCGTCCGATGAGCGAGTGCAGGCGATCTCAACTATGATGTTGAATGGATGGGCCTTGTGGAGCACATGGTGGATCCAACGTGCGTCTCTTTCCCATGGATGCATTGCCCATAGCACCGTTACGTTCTGCAAAGATCGGCACCTCAGTTGCCATTCGAAGAATTAAGCTTGTAGACGAAGATTAGCTTTGGAATAGCAGATTTGTTCCCATGGCCAACTCTTATCAAGCTGAATTAGATGCGCAGATGACAGATTTCAGGTAATGGCAGAACATTCAAGCTGGATTTCGAAAAGAAAGAAGAGTTTGGACTATTTGACCATTTTGATGATCGATAAGCACATCGTAATTGATGGAGATGTTCGCAAGAAACCATCAGATTCATATCATCATTTTCCGGTCACGAGTTACCCAAAAACAGAGAGAAGAGTCTTAAGATCATGACAGTAAACTGATGGATTAAAGAGAATTGCTAATCTCTTCTCTTCTTCAGTCAACTATTCTCATCGCAGGTGACGTTTGACTTTGGGGAGAGAAAAAGGCCAAATTAACTAAAATCTTCGACAATATCGAAGCCAAAAATCAAACGCCGACAAAAGTGGAATTGGAAGAGAGTCAATTAATTCCATGAGATCCTAAGAATTGTAGCTTTGCAGGAAGTAAATCTTAAACAACACTTCTCTTCCCTTCAAATCACTGATATGATCAGTTCTAATACTAAACTCTTAGCAGATTCAACGCTACGAAACAAACTCAAAGCAACAGAAGACATGCAACGACGGATGGAGGAAAGATGGAGCAGAAAGTCTACCTTAAAGCGTGCAAATTCGACCTTCAGGCTGCGAACGAAATCATCCTCGCAGCGCTCGAAGCTGCCGTGTGGCTTGAAGAAGGGAGAAGAGCTCCTGAAGCCTCGCCGCTTCTCCGGCTGCTTGCGCCATTTCGTGATCACCGTCAGCAACGAGCTCTCATCAACACCAAGGCCTTCACAGTCGATTCTGCGTCGTTAGCAATTCTACACCGATTAAATCGAGCGTGCACAGCAAACCGACCTGAGAAAGCACTGGTGAGGGCCTCATGCTCTTCGGCCATGGTGGCTCAGCCTCGGCTCCTGTCTCAAAACGGATGGTGAGGGGAAAGGAAACCGCTGCCGGTGTATTATATGCCTCGGTTGCGCATCAGATGGTAACGGTTGTTTTGCTGTGATGCGGCACGGGAGATGTGACAGACACAAAGTAGGGAGAGTCGGTCGTAGGAGGAGGTGAGCTGTCGTTGAATGCATGGCCTGTGACCGCATGCTTTTTTCTACTCGTGCATCGCGAGGGTTAGATATTTTGATTAGATATGTCAATGGAGACCTAATCCGACATGTTAGATTCTCTCTCTCTCTC